ATTTGCCGAGATCGTGCCAGCGAAGCTTCACGTGTGACGAAAAGAGCACTGATGGCTTCTAGCGAGTGGGATCTATCCATATTTGCGGTCCTCCTTCCTCTCCTCTTGGGGGGGTCCTTCCCTTGGGCTCAAGCTTCCTTTCATCCCCTTCAGGCCGGGGCCTTTTTTCAGGTTCCCCCTTTGAAAACATGCAGGGATACGTTGCTAAGACCGCAAATTCGTTGTTAGTGCCCCGAGGTCTTTCGTTATTAGTCCCCCCTTTCGGATTCGTTGTTAGTGCGCGCTCTCCCTGAACCCTGAACCCTGAACCTAAAAACCGGCAACCCCTCTTGCACTTCCCAGAATCTCTGGGTGCTGCCAGGCCGTCAACCCGCAGTTCCTCAGAGAGGAAGGGTTTAGGGTTTAGGGTTTAGGGTTTAGGGTTTAGGGTTTAGGGTTTAGGGTTTAGGGTTTAGGGTTTAGGGTTTAGGGTTTAGGGTTTAGGGCTTAGGTTTAAGGTTTAGGGTGTAGGGTTTAGGGTTTAGGGTTTAGGGTGTAGGGTTTAGGGTTTAGGGTTTAAGGTTTAGGGTGTAGGGTTTAGGGTTTAGGATGGAGGGTTACAGGGTTGGAGGGTTGGAGGTTTTGAGGCTGAGGGTCGAAGAGTTTAGGGTTAGGGCTTGGGGTTTCTGTTTGGGCCTTCTCGGGCTTTTGCCGTACCAATCAGACCTATAGCAGCAGTATCTGGCATTCAGGAGGGCGGTTTGGGCTCGAAGGGGGAGTTCCCAGGTGAGGCTTTTCAGGCTGGAGCACTTGGTGTGGTCGGGGGGGGGGGGGAAGCACAAGCACTGCAAATTCTGGTGCGGGGGAGGAGAAGTGAAATCCAGTCTGTGGGCTGCTACAGATTCTCACAAGGTTGAGGGGGTTGAGGGGGCAAAGAGAAACGATCCTGGTCTGCTTGTTCTGGACGCCTCTCGGCGCCGGAAGCCAAAAGGCGGATCTTCGATGTCAAGCCCTGAAAGCAGGCGGTCGAGGCCTTTGAACGAGCCGACACCCGAGGCCGCATCCTCAGACCGGGAGATGATGAGAGGGTTATATGTTCTTATGGTATATATGTATATATATATATATCTATATGTTTTGTTATTGTTTTTTGAGTATATATTTTATGTATATATGTATATACATACATACATAGTACATACATATATATACACAGAAAATATACGTGTGTATATAACACACATATCTCCATGTAGTTCAAGATTTAGGCTCTGATCGTCTTCTCCTTAAAAGGACCCCGTCCACCCTCCCCGTGGGACCATCCCTTTGTGCAGGCACGGGCTCCTTGCACGTGACAGACATCGAGGTGCCTCTCGAAGCTTGGAAGCTTTTTTTCGTGCAGGGAGCGGAAGTCCCGAGCAGCGTCTTCAGGCAACCTTCATGGATTGTGGGGAGCTACTTTCGCAGGCAGGGGGGGAGCCTCTGGATGCTCTACATGACTTTTTCATGTGCCCTGTGCGTGTCTTGTCTGCGGAGAGGGGGGATGCAAGGTGAGGAAAGCCGCATCGGAGGACCGCAAAGAACCAGGGGTTGTTCGGGTTGTATGGATGCGGGTTTTGGCTTACAAGGCCGGGGACTTCAGAGCTCATTCTTGACGATTGCTTAGCTGCTTGTCCTGGGCCGAGCTGTGGCGAATTATTGTGCAAGACACACCGGCACACCCCGTCTCTGCAGAAGGAGCTGGGCTACTACGACTTCCTGGCCTACTGCCCTGATCTCTGGGCTGTGCCATTCAGCTAATAACGGGGAAGCCCAAGTATGCCTTGAGCTGAGGTCTGGGGTATCGCCGAACACCTGTGCAGCTGAATTGGCCAGCACGGAAGTTGCATTTAACCTGCCAGGGCTAGTGCGGGCAGCTTCTGATGCAGGTATGATGTGACGAGAGGCTATGCCAAATGGCTACCGACAGGGGTTCTTCTTGGACAGAACCTCGAAGGCGCATGTCACCAGTGCTGGGCGGACGTAGGCGACGGGGTCGGGGTAGAATGCGGTACTGTGAGAGCACTGTGAGAGTATGTGGGGCTGTGGGGCCTAGGCAGCGTGGAGTTTTCCTGCGCTTCGCAGAGGGGGAGCTGATGTCAGGCATCTGGCATACTGGGGTGCTGGCCTTCGGCCGGGAGTATTGGTTCGGTGGCAAGGCCCGATGAGGGTTTAGGGTTTAGGGTTTAGGGTTTAGGGTTTAGGGTTTAGGGTTTAGGGTTTAGGGTTTAGGGCACCATTGATATGGACCTCGCGGGGATACTGTTGATGGACGAAATCCTGCATCACTTTTATTCTGCAGGTCATCCCTTCCAAACCCTGAATCTTAACATTGCTGTCCTTGCAATGCTTCGAAAGTGCATGTGTGTGAATGACCGAAATCCTGCATCACCCGCACGCGCACGCAACATTGAAATTCGAGGGGTGCGGGGAGCTCGACTACCAACCGTCGCACACGTGTAACGTAGGGGGTCATGCAAGATTTTGTCCATCCACAGTAGCATTCTTGACGTCCTTGTCACCCACAGCAGCTGCTGTCGAGGTACTGGCATCAGAGCCTGGCAAGGCACCATTTCCTCCCGGGCCCATCCGTTCTGCCCTCGGAATTCAAAGTTGCCACAGGTTTACGGTTTGTTACCCGCCTGACATGTCAGGCTGCTCGGATCTTGGCACAACTCTCCACACCAGGGAGGAGCTGCAAGTACTCTGTGCCTTCGCATCCCTCTAAGAGGGAGGCTGTGTTGTCTGTAGAGCTTTTTAATTTAAAGCTTGCGAGCTGGAGGAGCTAGAAGATTGGCTGCGCTTCGAGGTTGTTCCCAGGTGTTTCACCCGGCTTTGCGTGCAGATGAGCAGTGGCATCCGATCAGCCTGAGCTCTTGCAAGTTGGCGCAGGTACACCCGTGACAACTACGACATCCTGTCTCACAATTGCCGCATGCCAAAGCAGCGGGTTTGTAGAGGTTTGTAGAGGTTTGTAGAGGTTTGTACAGGTTTGTCGAGGTTTGTCTAGAGGTTTGTATAGAGGTTTGTATAGAGGTTTGTATAGAGGTTTCTATAGAGGTTTGTAAAGGTTCGCAGGGGTTTTAGAGCCAGTGCACCGACTTTGCTTGCCACTTGGGTGAGGCAACCACTTCTCGGACGAGGTCGTTGGCTTCCTCATCCAGGACCAGTGAGTGGAGTCTTTGCTTTTTGCGGCTGCGTGTGTTGCTATACTATAAACAATTCCACTGTAGATGACTGTACGATATCATTATGTCATATTGTTATGCCATATTGTTGTACTGTACATTAATGATGCAAGTGCTGGGGCTCAGCACGCACTCGTGCCATTTTGTCGTTGGTCCAGGGTTCCCATATCCCGGACGAAGCCCGACGCCAACCAGAGGCTGGTACCGTGCTGGTACGGAAGCGCTGACGAATGTTGGCAAGTCGGGGTTCGCGGACATTGCTGTCGGGAGGCCTTGATCGGAACGTCTGGCATCAATGCCCTACGACCGTGCAGGCCTTAGGACCTGCTCAGGGCCCCCAATATGCCCCAACATGCCCCAAGCATCATGAGTATGTAGTACAACAATGAGGGTATAGTCACATAACGTAATTTTGTATTCTAATATACCCAGGATCCTCAACTCCTGGCTGGGCGGCTTCGAGGCTCACTGGGTACGCGCACGTCAGCATTAGTGGGGTGCTGCGGAGGAACAGCCAGTTAAACACGTCAGAATCCGTGCCATCTGGCCGCCTCATGCTGCTGCCATATGAGCTCGCTTTGAGCACCGATTGCGCACTCGAGCCCGTCTTGGGTCCTCCCTGCTCTTCGCGACGTGAAGGGCATGGCAGCGGCCAGCCGACCAGTGCTGGTCCTGGGATCCACTGGCGGCATCGGTCTCCATCTCGTAAAGCAGCTCCTGGCAACAGGTGCCCCTGTTCGCGCAGTCCTTCGCTCACCGAACAAAGTTCCAGATGAAGTAAGGCAGGACACCAACTTTTCCATGGTCCAAGTTCCCAGTGTCACAGAGGTTTCCGATGAGGAGCTGGACTCCCACGTGCGCGGCTGCAGCGCTGTGGTGTCATGCCTGGGTCACACGGATGTCTTCGGAGAGCCCAAGGATTTAGTGCTACAAACGACCAGACGCGTCTGTGAGGCACTGGGCAGGATCCAGGAGCCCAAGTCTAAGTTTGTGCTTCTGAACACCGTGCTGGTAACCAACCCAAACGATCCCAGTGACCAAGCGCGGCATGGTTGGGCTTCGCGGATGCTGGTCAGTGCTTTGCACTGGGCACTGCCTCCCATGGTGGACAACACGAAGACTGCACATTACCTCATCGAAGACATAGGCCAGAGCCATGCGCATGTCGAATACTGCATAGTACGTCCAGACAGCCTATCAGACACCAAGCCAGTCTCAGACTATGACGTGCACGAGACCTTGCAGAACGGCGTGTTTTCGCCTATTGGGACCTCCAAAGCCAATGTTGCTCACTTCATGATGCGACTGGTTCTTGAGCAATCCGTATGGGAGACTTGGCGAGGCAAAATGCCTGTTGTAGTGGATAGGAAGTGATTATCACATGAGAGGCGTGCAGTGGAGCGTGGAGCTGTGCAGAATAGCGCCGCCTCCGCGCAGCTGCAGTCGATGCAGATGCACTCGATTGCTCATGGCCGCCATGTAAGAGCATAGTGGCAAGCACCGCGGAGCCGGGAAAACCGTGGCCTACCAGGGTTGCTAGCCGAACCCAGCCCAAGCCAAGCCAAATCGTTTGAGGCACCGCCCCCGAGGTGGCCAACACGCAGGCTCTGCCATTCGATTCTGGGGCAACCAGCCAAGATGAGCCCACTCCTGGCCAAGCCACATCTTCGCAACGATGAACCTAACCTTACAGGCCAGGCTCAGCTCGCTCGCCAAAACCCCGTTACCTAAACCATCCCCGAACCCTAACAATGTTAAAGCGAAAGCTCAAAAAGTAGGCCCCAAGCCCTAAACCCTAAACTGCAACCCCCAAACCCTTAACCCTAACCCCCAAACCCTAAAACCCAAAACCCCAAACCCTGCTCCCGGAAGCCCCGAACCCTAGACCCTACACCCCAAACCCTACACCCCAAACCCTAAACCCTAAACCCTAAACCCTAAACCCTAAACCCTAAACCCTAAACCCTAAACCCTAAACCCTAAACCCTAAACCCTAAACCCTAAACCCTAACCCTAAACCCTAAACCCTAAACCCTAAACCCTAAACCCCCAAATCCCAAGCACGCCTCAGGGTGCTGACCGGAGCTCCGAGATCGATGACCTCACGGGGGAGTGGCGTGCCAGGCTCTGGCCAGGCCCCGGGATCTGAAAGAGCCCAGGGTTTAGGGTTTAAAGGGTTTAGGGTTTGGGGTTTGGGGTTTGGGGTTTGGGGTTTGGGGTTTGGGGTTTGGGGTTTGGGGTTTGGGGCCGTAGGGTGTAGGGTTGAAGGTCTCGGGCCTGGAGAGAGTTTAGGGTTGAGCGTTCAGCGTTGAGGGTTGCGGGTTGAGGATTTCGGGTTGAGGGCCTTGAAGGCTTTTGGGGGGAGGGGATTCTGCATGTGAGCGAAGGTCTATTCGTAAAATGTGGGGCCTTGGGTCTTTCGGGGTTTCTGGGGATGAGGTTTTGAGGCCTAGGATTTGGGGGCTCCGTGCTAGAGGGTCTAGGGGTTTGGCGATTCGGGCTTTAGGGTTAGGGTTTAGGGATGAAGACTTTCATTCCGGTGGTTTGCATGATGGCCGACAACTAAAGGGTGCAGACCATCTCAAATGTGCTCAATCTATATGAAACAGGGTTTGTATCGCTGTTCCTGGCGAGTGTCTGTAGGTTTCTTGTAAGTGCTGCTGAGTGTACATATTGGGTGTCCTTATAGGACTACAAGCAATACAAACCCTATTTCATATGACCCCTTAAGCGTTGGGAGCTGCCAGTGAGCTTTCAGCACCGTGTCTTAAAAGCAATGTACTAACAATATACTAAGATATACATGCTTATACATTCATACTAGAATGCAGCAAAATAATCATACAATGGTATAGCTGTGTCTTTTTACTCTTTTGTCTGGGTGAGCTAACAGGCGACCTTTGCCTCTACGCGCCTCCTGACGGCCAGAAAGTCAAGTTGGCACAGGCCAGACCCTTCCACTCACTTACCTTCCCAAGTCCTGCGCTCCATCGCGCAATTCTGGGATCACACGCTTTCTTGGATGTTTTTTGGAAGAAGAGCAGCCCTGAACCCTAAGCCTTAAGTCCTAAACCCTAAACCGCCTAAACCCTAAGCCCGAAACACTCAACCCCAAGCCGCACTTCGCGGTGCAGGTCTCCAGCGTGGATGCTTTCAGCGCGGTGTGCGATGTCTGCTACTTCGACAGTGCCAGCTGCGGCCTCGGAAGTGAAAGACGGCAGGCATGGGCTAGTATACTATTGCTCTGCTATTACAAAAGCTCTTTTCCTATATAAGCCATGTTGTTATATTAGTATAATGTTATAATATAAGTTGTATTGTTCCACAATGCAGGTTCTTCTATTGTTATCCTGTTGCTCACACCATCAGATTCTTATGCTGTCATATTCTTATGTTGCTATAGGAGTTGTGTTGTTACAGTACTGTAGTACCGTACTAGTATATTGGTATGCCAGTCGATCTGTATTGCTAGATATCTACATTATTACATTGTTCTATCACTATCACTCACTAGACTGTTACATCATTGGAATTTGGGCTCCTGGCCTGAGTCCCGGACAAGCTTCAGGAGGCACACGGAGACACGCCAGGTGACCTTGTCTCTGAGTTTTAGCCCTCGTAGGTAGCAAACTCGTTGCTAAGAAGCCAGTGACCTCCAAATTCAGGCTCGATCTTGCCATCCTGGTAGGTAGCAAACTCGTTGCTAAACAGCCAGCGTCCTCCAAATTCAGGCTTGATCTTGCCATCTTCTTCTTCTTCTTCTTCTTCTTCTTCTTCTTCTTCTGCCTTGATATTGCCGAGGCATGCTCCCGGCGACAGGCGAAGTGGCGGGTGATGCTCAGCTTCGCCAGGAGACCCAGATTGTTGGATAACTTTGTATGCGCTTCCTCTGCCGAGACCTGCTACCCTAAACCCTAAACCCTAAACCCCAAACCCTAAACCCCAAACCCTGAGGCCAGAAGCTTTGCATGCTTGCCGCGAAATTCTGGGACTGGCATCTGGAGTATCGGAAAGCTGTCCGTGGCTGAGCCCACCACCCCTTGACTCCATGGGCTCCGATTATTATTATTAACAGATCTTCCTGCTGCTGGAAAGGTGCGTCTTGTCGCTGAGGTGCCACTGACCTCTTTGCGGCCTCATGAGGCATGTGGTCGGAGTCTTACGTCAACGTCCTCTCTCCCTCTTTCTCCCTGAGATGCCTGAGACCCTAAACCCTAAACCCTAAACCCTAAACCCTAAACCCTAAACCCTAAACCCTAAACCCTAAACCCTAAACCCTAAACCCCCTCAGAGATGCACTCAGGATCAGCCCTGGCCCTCGGCCGGCAGGGTGCGTTTGCAGCCTCTGTGGGTCTGGGCCCCCGAGGTGCTGATCCAGGTCAAGGGCGCCTCGTGATGTGGTGGTTTCCTAAATCATGGTCCCCTTTTGGGAACCCATTGTAAGGCGGCACCCTTTAAAACGAAATCCCCAAAAGGGACCGTGATTTAGGAAACTACCCATGCGCTCACGAGCCCCGGCTGTCTCAGAATCGCTCACGCCTGAGGCCTCGGCGCCCTGCTGCGAGCTGGGTTGGGGACGCACCCTGAGTTGACAGAGCCAAGTGCTGTAGACATGGAAGCCTCAAAACCCTAAACCCTAAACCCTAACCCCAAAGCGCGCCCCCCAAAAGCGACGCTTCTCACGGAGGAGGATGGACCCCGGCATCCAGAACATCCTCCGGCGCAAGGCGGTCGTCTACGCGCACTGCGCGCAGGACCTTGGGGGGTGGGCTCTTTTACAGGGGTTGGCGAACTAAAGACCTTGCGAGGTAACTCTGTACCGCTTTAACCCCCCAGAGGAAGGTGTTGGGGAAGTTTAAGGGTAAGGTTGCCCTCTTCCTGCAAAGCTGCTGAACTCAAGTATGGCTGCACGGTATCCTGTAGGATTCGGGGAAGGTCGCAAGTAAATTTTCATCCGCATCTCACTGGAGGGCCACGCCATGCAGCAATCCGAGAGCCAGTGGTCAATGGCCTGGCCCCTGAGCAGTCGATCTCCATGCAACCGTTCCCCTGGCTCTTAGGAGGGAACGAGGGAAGTAGGGCCCTATATATACCCTTTAAGGGATTACATAGGGTATACCTACTCATTCCCTCATTCCCTACTAAGAACCAGCGCCAGCCGTTTAGGGTGTGGGGTTTGGGGGTATTGGGGCACCCTTGCGCCGCGTCCTCTTGATCCTGATCTTGAGGCCTGGATCGGGTCTGGCTTTTCCTTCTGTTGCGGTCCCTTCCTCAGAGGATCTCAGAGGAAGCCTGCAGCTCCTAGAGCCCTAACTCCCCACACCCAGAAGGGCCCTATGGTCCCCTATTCCATGAACCCTGCACCTAGGGACTCAGGGCGTTGGGTTTTTTAAGCCCCCAAACCCCTTCCCCCCAACCCCCGGCGCACGCAGGCATTTGTCAGAAGAACCTGGCCAATGCGGAGCGAAGGCTTGAGGCAGGATCGCGCTGTTGCTTTAGGGGGAGTTTAGGGGGCTTGGGGTTTGAAACTCACTGCCTTGGTTTAACAAGCAAGCGCCAAGCCCAAGACAACCATCTTTACTCCCCGTAGATACTACAGATCCTCAAGCCCAATCCCAAGCTCCCGAAGCCCGAAAACTCTTTCCGCAGCATCCGAATTAACCCTGAACCCTAAAGTTCCCAAACGTCTGAAACTCTAAACCCTAAACCCCAAACCCTAAACCCTAAACTCTAAACCCTAAACCCTAAACCCTAAACCCCAAACCCTAAACCCTAAACCCCAAACCCTAAACCCTAAACCCTAACCCCCCCAAAAACCCGACTCCTGACAGTGCACGACCTGCGGCTTCTACCTGTGCGGTTCCTGCGACCGAAAAGGGCTCTTCCGAGGCCCTCCTTTTGGGTTTTCAGGGTTTTCGTCTCCAGGCTTTCCAGGGTTTCCAAGGGTTTCCAGGCGTTTCCAAGCTTTTCCAAGGGTTTCCAAAATTTTCTAAGGGTTTCCAAGGGTTGCCAAATTTTCCAAGCGCTTCCAAGGGTTTTTGAGCAAGGGTTTCCAAGAGTTTTTGGAGTTTTCAGGGTTTCCGGGGTTTGGGGTCGAGGGTTTGGAGGTGTTCAGGGTTGGGAGAAGTGGTTTTTGTATAGGTTATAAGTACTTCAGTCTGGTCGCATTTGCTTGCTCTTGTGATGGTTTGCATGTTCCGAGTCTTACCGGGGAGATACTGAACACCGACCTGTTCGTAGTCTTTGGGGGCAGTTAGTTCACGGTTCTTCAGCCGAAGGCTACTACTCCCTGGGCTCCATGGCTGCTTCCACCGCGAGGCGACCGGCCTCAGCTTTTGAAAGCTTCTCCCTTCACTGCCTTGCTCCCATGCTTCGAGGAAAAGAGTATTCCATAGTGCAAGCCTACACAGTGCTTGGCCAGAGGCAGATGCTGCAGGAGCTTGTGCCTCAGACCTGAGGGGGCGCATTTCCTAGAGGCGCACAAAGGGTTCTGAGCTCCTAGCAGGTGCGATGTTCCCTTGAGAACAGAGCCATCACGTAGCCTGGACCTGAGGCCTTCCTGGATTCGCTACAAGGCCCGTTTGCCTCTGCTCAGATCTGCCTCCTGGTTCTTAGAGTAGGGCATGAGGGAATGTGGGGCCCCTATAGATACCCTTTAAGGGATTACATAGGGCCCTATATGTATCCTTGAAGGGAGTAGCTAGGGCCCTATATATACCATGATATACCCTTCATGGGATTCTAATACTGTGCTCGTACCTCATTCCGGGCCTCTCAAGTTGTACCGGGCTCGAAGAGCTGGGGATCAACCGGCTCGGAGGCCCTCAACTGGATTTAGCACATGAAGGATGATAGTCTATTGACACAGTGTACGTACGATATACATGCTGATGTGAATCTAGCTAAAGAGGTATATACAGACATAATGCGGTTTTGAGGTTTCGGGTCGCTACGCCAGGCTCGCCGCTACATGGCCGCTGCCGGGATGGTCAACGGACGGCTCGAGACCCGGGCTTGCGACCCCCGAGCCCCCAAGACCCCCCCAAAGGCCCCGAAGGGTTTAGGGATTCGGGTTTTTTTTGTTTAGGTGCCGCGTGTTTTCGGGGTTTGGGGGCCCTGAGGGCTTAGGGGCTAAGGTTTATGGTTTTGGGTTTTGGGGTTTTGGGGCTTGGGGTTTCAAAGCCCCAACTCTACGGCTAGTCTCCATCCTACGCGTGACAGATCTTGGAAGATGCTTGCCCCCTCCCCCCCCGCCCCCCCGAAGTACTGTAGTCACTATAGTGATTATTCGAGGAACCCCGCTAACACAGCAAACCCCTAAGTTCTTGAGCCCCAATTTTGTGTTACTCACTGCGCACTTGCTGGCCCTCTAAGGATTGGCCTGGAGGTGTGGCAGGGCAAGTTGGCGTTGAGGCCAATGCCTTGAGTCTTGTGGATCAACGCCCTAGACATCGCAGCTGTGTGCTGAGGCTTGGTAGACGTGCATCGTCGGCCCTTGTTGCGTTGTGGTCAGGCTGTATGGAGATCTGGGCCGTGATCCTCCAGACAAGGTGGAGCTTTGATGTCGTTCACGGGGCGACATGTGAGGGTTCAAGGGAGGAACATCTAGCGCTGGTGGCATGCCTTCTATGGAGCCCATGGATCTGGATGATCTGGGGCGCACCCACGACTCGGGGAGCATTGCTTTAAAGGTTTGCGACCGCTGCCGCAACGTTTCAAAAGCACAAAGCTCCACCGCTGGCACAGGAGGAGCTGATCAGAATTTTTCGGCGCCATGCTGACGCGGGAGATGGGCCTCGGCCTCGGAGTACGCACTGCGGCAAACTTGTATTGTCTGTTTTTGTATGGCCGTGTTTAGCTGTCGATGTTGTTCTGTGTTGGACATTGTAAGATACGACATGAAAGCAGTCCTGTCTCCGGGTTATAGCTCTGCTTCTACTTCCCAAAAGCAAATCGCCAAGGTCTTGCAGCCTTACGCTCGATGAAAACCAGTTCTGTGGGCTGTTGCTGCTCGGCCGATCATGCCTTCTGGGCTTCTTGGGATGCGGCGGCCGGGCCTTTCTAGCTGGGACGAGGTTTTCCGGAAAGACTGGTCTGTGTCACAGGTTCTGAATACCAGCAGCTGAGCTTCCCGCATCCTCGGTCTGCTGTCACTATAGACAACACGGACTGCGTGCGACTGCAACTACTGTGACTCTTCCAACTCCTACCAGCATCTTCGTCTTTGTTTCTTCCTTTTTCTTTTTTGCCACCACGGCTAGGCCACCAGAACACAACTCGCAGCACAGGGACAGACAGCAGCTGTCTACAGTAGGTCGGCTCCTTTTTTTCACGCGAAGAAAGACCCCAGGAGCGAGCTGCTTGCAGTCCACTCCTTCATGTACCATCTCTGATCTTCGCGCCCGTCTCACGATCTCCAGGGTAGTTTCTAGCTTAGCTTGCGCAGAATGGACCCAGCTGGTACCGAAGACTCGAAGGCCTCGAAGATCCGAGCTGTCTTTTCTACTTTGTTGAGAGTTCATCCTGCGCGATTCCCAGTAGCCGCACCTGCTCCAAAGAGATCAGATGGGGCCCCGTTAACGAAGGAGGCATCAATGACTCCTACGCAAGGGTGAATTTGCAAAATGGTAAGAGAGCGCGCCCCCTTCGCGCACGACATGCTGCCCAGACTCTGCCGTGAGTGCCTAACCCTAAACCCTAATACCCTAATACCCTAAACCCTAAACCCTAAACCCTAAACCCTAAACCCTAAACCTATTGGAGTTTTCTGACGGCTGCCACTGCCTCAGCAACAGCCTCAAGTCGGCAGAAGGCGGTGCCTCACTGAGCGATGGCACTGACGAGGCGAGCGCCGGAGGCGGACAGGGCAACTGAGGATGCCTCTTTAGGGTTTAGGGTTTAGGGTTTAAGGTTTAGGGTTTAGGGTTGAGGGTTGAGGGTTGAGGGTTGAGGGTTTAGGGTTTAGGGTTTAGGGTTCCTTGTGCCCGAAATGGATCACGGAATCCCCAGAATATGGGGGTTTCCAAGAGTTTGGGTAACCCTTATGAACTAGTATAATCCTTTTTATAGGAACCCCAAAAGTCTGGGAAATTCCCATATATGAATCCCGCAACTTCAACCTGCAGAGAAACCCCCACTGGGCCCATTCTTTGCCGACCCTGGGAGGGCGGACCGTCGCGCGCGACGCGCAACCGATCTCTGGCGCTTCGGAGGCTGTGGGGGTGTCTGGGTGTCTGTGTGCTCGCTTCTCCCAGCTGTGGTTGTTTTCAGGGTCCGTATTATAAGGCGGCCGCTCTCATGTAGGGTAGCCAAAACGGGACCATCATGTAGAGAACTCACCGTATAGGGCTACAGTCTGCGAAGAAGTGTGGAGTGTGTCGGGGGGGGCGGGTTCGGGGAGGCGGGGAGGGGCGCGGGGGGCGTGGGGGTTCTAGTGTTGGGGGACTGGCAGGGAGGGGGTTGTGCCACAAGGGTAGTGCGAATAGAAGAATGATTGGTAGTTGATCGTGCTTCGACATTCTTTCTGCGTTGTCCTGTCGTAGTTATAGCCGTTAGGCATACAGTCGTCTGTAAGATAAAAGCGCAGAAGGTTTTTCAGAAGGAGCTCATGGAAAACATCCATGAAGCCGCCCTTTTGCCAGCTCCGTGGGCCATATATGGAGAGCTTATGCTGGGTTAGCCTTTAGGGTTTAGGAGTTTAGGGTTTAGGGACCCTAAAAACTCCTTGCGTCTCAAAAGAGGGCCTGGCCTGCTTTACGGCCATGTAGGGTGGGGCACATCCGGGTATCCCGAATCCATGACATCCAATAATTTTGTTAGGCGCAATCTTCACATCTGCCGGATGCACTTAGGGTTATGGACCCTCCAAGAGCCTCATTGCTTGGACCTGCTCATGTGGTCCTGTGGGCCCCTCTCGAACTGAGGGCTGTGGCTAGGAAGGGGGTTGCAGTGCAGGGGCATCTCGGAGCCCTAAACCCTAAACCCTAAGCTCTGAGCCCTGAGCCCTGAGCCCTCAAGCCTACAGCAGAGGGCCGTGAAGCTTGTGCGCTGGGGAGGTTATGCCTTGGCAGCTTTGCAGCGGCCGCCCTTGCAACAGGTGCCTGCGGTTGAGGGTTTAGGGTTTAGGGTTTGGGGTTTAGGGTTTAGGGTTTAGGGTTTAGGGCCGGTTTACACAACACTTCACAACTGACACAGATGCTGCCTTTTCTCTAAAGGGTCTGAGGTTTTAGAGGGTTTAGGGTTGGGCGTTTTCTGGCTCTAGGGTGCTCAGGATTTGGGTTCCGGAACCGTTTGGGGATTTAGGGTGTCGTAGCTGCAGCTACAGGACAATCATTGCGCCTTTCTTTCCTCCCCATCGACTTGGAGCTTTCGTCTCGTTTCGGCATGCAAGAAGCAGACATCGCTTGCACCCTGCCCTTGAGGGTTTCGTTTGGGCTTTAGGGCTTGTGGTTCTTTAGGCTTTCAGTGTTTGCATAGGGTCGCGGGCCTTCCAGTAGAGATCGAGGGATGTCACGTGTTGCAGCAATGTTGCGTGTTCAGATGATGGTTACCGGCCGCGAGCTGGCTTGCCTGGAGCCAGAGAAGTTGCAAAGCATTATTGGAGACACTGCTACGGGCCACGTGCGCGCCCTCAAAGTCCATCTCCAGAAGCTCTGCGGACATCCGCGCTTTCGACAGCGGCTCCTGCAGGAAGATGCGCAAGTTCTGTCGGACGAGGAGGTTCTGGAAGCACCTTGCCTGTTGCACCTGCTCATTGTGGACTTTGCCGAGACCTCTGGCGATCACATTGACAGGCTGGTCCATGTAGTGGAGGCAGACGATACACAACAACTAGAAGCAATCTTGCAGCGACCCCAAAATCCGAACCGAACGGCGCAGCACAACATGACGGCGTTACATGTTGCAGCTAGGTCGGGCAAGAAAGTAGCCACAGGATTGCTGCTCGAAGCTGGTGCGGGATCAAACCAAACTGAAGATACTGGAGCCACGCCTCTTCTTCTCGCAGCTCAGAATGGCCACTTGGAAGTGGCACGATTGCTGCTGGAGTTCGGGGCGGACAAGGATCTGGCCCTTCCAGATGGCTCCACACCTCTCTGTATCACAGCTGAGCAGGGTCGCTTGGATGCGGCGCGCTTGTTGCTGGAGTTTGGTGCGGGCAAGGATATGCCCAAGCGAGACGGAGCCACGCCCCTCTTTCTTGCAGCTCAGAAAGGCCACTTGGAAGTGGCGCGGTTGTTGCTGGAATTTGGTGCGGACAAGGACCCACTCATGGTACATGGAGCCACGCCGCTTTTTGTTGCAGCTCAAGAGGGCCACTCGGATGTGGCGCGTTTATTGCTGGAATTTGGTGCGGACAAGGACTTGGCTGTGGTAGGTGGAGCCACGCCCCTGTTTATTGCAGCTTGCGATTGCCACTTGGAAGTGGTACGCTTGTTGCTTGAATTTGGTGCGGACAAGGATCTGGCTTTATCCAGCGGAGCCACGCCAATGCATGTTGCAGTCCAGAACGGCCATTTGGAAGTGGCGCGCTTATTGCTGGAGTCTGGTGCGGGCAAGGACTTGCCCAAAGAAGACGGAGCCACGCCCCTTTTCATTGCGGTTCGGGAGGGCCACTTGGAAATGGCACGGTTGTTGCTGGAGTTTGGTGCAGACAAGGACTTGGCCAAATCAAAACGAGCCACGCCGCTTTTCATTGCAGCTCGGGAGGGCCACTTGGAAGTGGTACGCTTGTTGCTCGAATCTGGTGCGGACAAGGACTTGGCTAAAACAAATGGAGCCGCACCTCTTCATGTCGCAGCTCAGAACGGGCACTCGGACGTGGCACGTTTGTTGCTGGCGTTTGGTGCGAACAAGGACGTAGCCTTCGCAGGTGGAACCACGCCACTTCTCATCGCAGCCGAGACGGGCAACGTGGAAGTGGCACGCTTGTTGCTGGAGTTTGGTGCGGACAAGGACTCGGCTAAAGCGGATGGAACCACGCCACTTCATTTCGCAGCTGCGCGTGGCCACTTGGCGGTGGCACGCTTGTTGTTGGAGTCTGGTGCGGACAGCAATGCCGCCCTAGCAGACGGAGCTACGCCCCTGTTTATTGCAGCTCAGAACGGCCACTGGGCGGTGGCACGCTTGTTGCTGGAGTTTGGTGCGGAGTTGCGCCACTTCATTTCGCAGCTGCGCGTGGCCACTTGACGGAGGGACGCTTGTTGTTGGAGTCTGGCCGTAGCAGATGGCGCCACGCCATTTGTCCTCGCAGCTTCGCGTGGCCACTTGGTGGTGGCATGCTTGTTGCGGAGGTTTTGGGTCCAGACAAGGACCGGGCCAGAGCAGATGGAGTAATGCACGCCTCTTCGTACTGCAGCTGAAAAGGGCCATCTAGTTACGCCCTACACCTATACGAAAGAGCTGTTGAGCCCTAAACTAAGCCCCAAGCTTCACTCAACCCATTCAGCCATGAAACCTTAAACTTTAACGCCCCTAGAAGGCGAAATCTCCAAACCCCAAACCTTCAAGTTGAAGCCCTAAACCTCCAAATCCTCTAAACCCTATGAACACTGAAACCCTCAACTCTAAACCGTTGAACCTCTAAGACCTGAAGCACGCGCTAAGCCCTGAGCCTTAAACCATCCTTCACTGAAGCCCGTAGAGCCCTAAACTGTAGCTTGCCTGCTTTCCCCTCAAGCCCGAACTCTTGAACCCGCCGTAAATCCTATCCTCGAAGCCTAGCATTCTGCCCCTGAAGCCCTTAAAGCCATACCCTCAACTACCCGAAGCTAGTCTTCTATATGCTCTTGTACATAAGGGCCTGGGGAGTGTTTCGTATAAGTTCAACACACGCCTCAACCCTCAACTCTAAGCGCTAAGCCATACTGTAGTAGACTATAAACTACCATCTGTTTTATACATAGTATACTACAGTATACTACAGTACACTACAGTATACTACAGTATGCTACAGTACACTACAGCATACTACAGTATGCTACAGTATGCTACAGCATACTACAGTATACTACAGTATACTGCAGCATACTACATACTATCAGGGAAGCCCTGAGATCTCCTCAAACGCCCGTCAAACCCTCAAGCTTCGATCCTCGTGGCTGTGTGTACGTCAGATGTCGCATCCTAACAGAGTATCTTTGCAAATTCTTGAAATGCCCCGCAGTCGCCTCTCCCCTCAGAGGAGCCCGGGGGCTTGATCCCCTGAGTTCAGGGATTCTGGCGTTCCTTATGTCATTCCCCTGTTGACAGGTGGCTTACGCTTGGGACGGGGTTTTGAGGCTCTGGCCAACGGAGGACCTTTGCTGCGAGAGCCTGTAGGTCGTACTGACAGTACCTTGTTCATTGCATGCTGCGGCAGCAGTTGCTATCAACGGGAGTCCCATGTAACATGATGTTCGCAGGACCTGACCCAGCAGACGAGGCAAGAATAGTTGAATGGCATTCCTGGGGACGAATCCTGCTCTCACTCGTGTGCACAACCTGTTTTCGGACCAAGGATGCATCTTCACCAGATGCAGCTGCAACGCACCCGCTGAGGATGTAGCGACGGTAATGCGCCAGTGCTCTCCAGATATATGGCACTGTTGTTACCACGGCTGCACAAGCAGAGCTGTCGCGGTAAATGCGGAGGGTCTTATGGACGACCTAAACCCTATACCCTAAACCGTTATAAAACCTTAACCCTGAGCCCTGAACCCTAAACCCTAAACCCTAAACCGGAGATTCATGATCAGTGAAGGAGCTCGGTGGGAGGGCCTCTGCGCGACTGGTGGCGGCCCTGCGCCCTCATGGGCGGAACTTGCCTTTCTGGCCTGTTACGTGGAGGAGAAACATCAGCCGGGGCTTGCAGACTTGAATGATCCGAGTCGGATGGCTCCTTGCCCAAAGCCGGCTTATCAGAATCAGTACATGGAACTCTTCCCTTCTGCCAGCGCCAGGTCGGTGCGTGGGCACCTTGGTCTGGAGCTCGGGGATACTCAGAGTGTCGGAGGACTCTGGGACCTTTTGCACTACTCTTGGCCTTGGCTGCGAGGTTTTTAGCACGGTCCTTGGGGACTCGATTCGAGAGATCAACTCCGACGGGGCGGCGTTGGTCTCAGTTTGCAGCACGTGCTTCTGCCATCTGGGGGTTTCCGAAAATAGGGGTACCCTATATACCCTATCTGGGAGTCCCTTTAAAGGGGATTCTATTCCATTTGGGGTCTGAGAGGGGTGCACCCTATACCCTAAACCCTAAACCCTAAACCCTAAACCCCAAACCCTAAACCCTAAACCCTAAACCCCTATTTTGGGAATTGCTGGATTACCCATCTCGATCCAGAGAAGCCTTGCAGCTGTCTGGAGCAGTTCAGGTGTCCTGCACGGCAGAGGTGGGGGCACCTGGCATGATGTGATGCTTGTACGTGGTGATACGTGGTGATACAGAGAGCTAGGGTTTAGGGTTTAGGGTTTAGGGTTTAGGGCTTAGGGCTTAGGGTTTAGGGTTTAGGGTTTAGGGTTTAGGGTTTAGGGTTTAGGGTTTAGGGTTTAGGGTTTAGGGAGCTCGGGGCTCCTTAGCCGTTGCCGTGTGTTGTGCGGCATGGTAGCCGTCGCTTGAAGTAAACCATCCCAAGCATGCCCCATGACGATGAGGAATAGTTTCGTCCGCGTGAAGCGTCCAATTCTCATCTCGACCTTGCAATGCCCATCACACCTCTTGATGCAGCGATGCACTGATCTTTTCATGGGGTCTTCGGTGTTGGATATGTCGGGGAAGGACGAGATCCAGCAACCCGTGACCTACCGGAACTGCATGAACACATCACGGGTAGCTCCGACGCCCCAGTGCAGTCGAGGCTTTGGGTGCTCCAACGCACAGAGATTTGAAGATGTGCTGGTGCCAGGACCACTTGGGCTTTGGGGTTTGGGGATGAGGATTTAGGGTGTAGGGTTTAGGGTTCAAGAGATCCGAGACCGTCAGACTTGATCAGGACGGCCTGCCGTGGGACAACGATGTTAGAAAGGGGCTCGCTGCCATGGCGCCCTGGCTGCAGCCAGAAGGTGAGGTGTGGATGGTTCATCTCCTAACAGTAATCTGTTTATAATTCATAATAGAAATACTAATATTCGTATTCATATTTATATTGATGTTAATATCTCCAGAGAGACATGACTAGCTTCACGACCACATCTTAGAACTGCGACCGAGGCTTCAAGTCAGGTTGTGCTAGGCTAGCTGAGCACGTGACGTGGAGCACACCAGGCTGCCAGAGGCTTGCTTGGAGAGATTCTCAATCTCATCAGTTTCTAGACGTGTCACAGCAACTGGGCCAATGTTTCTCCCAGATCGAAAGGGTTTCTTGAAAAGCCTGCGCAGCACAAGGTTTCACCCAGGGCTTTTGGGTTTGGAGGGTCTAGCGGGCTTTCTCATGCTGGGCTAGGATTCAGGACCTATACGCCCGAGATCTTCCATGCTGAGGTGCGGCAGGGGCTTACCCCGCGAATTGAGATAGCTTCCGACGAGGCGGGCTCCAATGTGCCGGGGGTGTGAACTCTGAGGTTTGGGGTCTAGGGTTACCTGGTTCCCTTATACCTGAAATCCCAAGCTTTCCCTTCTGAACCCCGACGCCGGGATTCCTAAAGCCCTGCATAAGCAAACAGGACAGCTGCTGACATAGGGCGGCAACTGACGCTGCGCAGGATGCACCAAGGTTTTTTGTCAACATGAGCGGAACCTGGAATTAGGAATCCGGGCCTACTGAGAAGATGTTCATACGCAGCAAGTCAGAACCACCGCGTCCACCATCGCCATCATCATCAGCACCGTCGTCATCATCGTCGTCATGATCGTCATCGTCATTATCACAAGCATCATCGCTGTCACCATCGCCATCCTCATCCTCAGGTTCATCATCATCCTCATCCTCATCCTCATCCTCATCCTCATCCTCGCCCGGATGCAGGGAGACGAGAAACGCGACTATTGTCAGCCTCTGGCCAGAGCACATCCAAGGCCCCATTGGTCCGACTTTGTAGGCGAGCCCATCCGGCAAATTCGCTTGGCGCAAACATGAGATACATATACTGGTGCCGCCCATTGATGTCCGTCCGATGTCAATGCGAGACACCAGCAATGGCTACTGTCTCGACGATCCTGGCAAGCAAGCACCCTCAAGCCATGACAACGTGGATCTCCACCACTGATCCGACGCATCGAAAGATGCACCACGACTCGGTGAATGGGGACCCTGCAAAGTGTTTCTTGCGCAGCGTCTTACTTAGGAAGTTCACATCAACGCCGTGTTGAACATTATGTGAGCATGTACAATGCAAGGTACTCTAGAACGGGACACCAACTGCAAGCGTTGCTGCAGGCAGCAGAGCCTGGCTGCCAAGCCGATCACGATGACCTTTGGTATGGCTGTGTGCGCCCAGCCCGTGCTCAGGGGATCTGGCCAGTAGATGCCACTAGGGAGCCTTGGAAGTCCCGGAATGTGGACCCAGCTAATCTTCGGAGAAGTTGGCAGGTCGTCATGAGTCGGCGGTGGGACACAACTGTCATTCCTCAGGCGCGTGTCTGCCTGTTATTGCATTGGTTCAGTAAGCGGTTAAGAGGGATGAATGACCGCCCGAAACCAATCCGCAGGCCGAAGAGGTTTATCGAGACCATTCCATTTTGCTTGGCTCCAGAAGGGCCAAAACCTCTCCTGAACTGGTGGGGGCTCCCTCCCTACCCGCACGAAGAATTGACATGCCGACCCTACAGGCAAAGGTAGTGTGAGGGTAGGGGTCGTTTCTGTAAGTTCTTGCAACCCGTGCCTCTGGACCTCCTAGCTTCAGTTCCGGCAATGCGAAATAAGTCTCCAGGTCATGGCACGCACGGCTCCGGCAGAAGAGCAGTTAGACATGGCGCTTCGCAAGCTGGATGCTTGTCACCGCCACAGCCTTACTTTCCACTTTGCAGTGCAGACTGGTACCCGCAACACCTTGAGCCCTTGCCTAAGCCTGCTAGTTCAGAGCAGGTTCCACATGTGTGGTTCTCTTACTAGGGTCCCTTTTGGGCCTCCCAAATAGGGGACCCACGAAACGGGAACCTAACTTAGAGAACTGCCCTAAACCGCAAACCCCTCTAAAACAAGGCTGATTAAGGCCCCAAGGTGGCCTGTTCATGGTTTTGAGGCATATCTCCGCTGGCGTCCATTCGGGTTCTCGGAGTTCGTAGTGGCCAAGCGGCAGATGTCGGGGCCTCAGCCACTGAACTGAACAGGCCTCTGAAGGCTCAAGGGAGCTCGCCCTGCCAGGGGTTTAGGGTTTAGGGTTTCGGGTTTAGGGTTTAGGGTTTTGGGGTTGGCGTCATGGGGTTTAGGGTTTAGGGCTTACGTGCTGAAGTTGTAGGAGCCCTGCAAGCCGACCATTTGCCAAGCCTTGCAACCTGTGAGGATGTCAAGTTGCCAATGGCCCAATCCCGCGTCTGCTCGGTGGTGTACCGGCCAGATGAAGGAGCCGAGAGATGTAGGCTTTTGGATGAACGGCTCGGCGAGATGAGCAAACACGTTCAGGGTTATGGCCTTCTCTGCAGTTCATGCCCTTGCAAGCAGCTCCAAAAGAGCATGAGCTAGAGTCAAAGAAGCGGGGCTCACTGTCAAGCTTCGCATTTCGGAACCCTTGCCCGGATGAGATAAAGTGGGACCCACTCAACAGACATGTGGCGGCAGGAGTGACTTGGACCGCCCATACTCCCGCGCTTCATTGCGCGGGCCTCGGACGCGAAAGCCCGCAGTCGGCCTAAACCCTAAACCCGAATCCCGGTACCCGAAAACCCGAAACCCATAGTAGCAGCTACATAGCCGAGAAGAGTGTTTGAGGGAAATGTGAGGGATCCTTCGGATCCCTAGAGGGGTGCGACTTGGGGATCCTGAACCCCTGTTCTGACACTGGATGGGCGGGTGAGGCGCGACGGAGCCTGGCACCTGCACAACGACACCTTGCAGGGCCCCCGGGCGTTTTCGGTTTAGGGTTTAGGGTTTAGGGTTTAGGGTTTAGGGTTTAGGGTTTTAGGGTTAAGGGTTTAGGGTCCTCCGCTCCACATGGGCACCGCTTCTTCTCAAAATGGTGGTGCGGCAAGGCGAGTGCCGCCGTTCGACCGTGCGGCCCCTACCCTTTGGGGGATGGGAGGTTCTGTGATTTGACACCGTGCTTTTTTGATGCGTTTGATGCATTTGCGTATGAGCTTTGCAGGACCGCAAGTTGGAACTTCGAACCCCACAGGCCTCTCCAGCCTCCGTTAGATGGCTATGAGGAGTTACTAAAGGAGCGGATCGCATGGCCAGGGCCAAAGATGCTGGGCTTGTTCGGAGAGCGGTAAGGAGTACACCTTCAAAGCCCGGGGCCTTCGTCAAGTCTGACAGTCTTGTCTTGAAGGGCAGCGCTTGATGAGCTCGTTTCTTTTGTTGGTGAGCAGCTTTCGTCACGCCGAGGTGAACGCACTGGCTGAACAGATGGAGGGGCAGTCCGTGTCCTGGTGGCCTCCGTGTCTTGCCCAGCAGGGCTGAGAGGGCCAGCAGCGTGGGGTGCAGTGGTGGGGTGCGCTCCTATGCTTTCTGCTGGGCTTCATGCCTAGGTACGGAATCAACAGCCCACCGATTCTTTGGATATTCATGGACCCGGCTTCTGCTGTGCTGAGTTTGACAAGAGTCTCCGCTTCAGCCAGCGGCTTCCTCGCGATTGCCCGGCCAGGATATCTGGAGCGTCGCGGATGCGTGCCCGGTCATCACCGGATACATGTTCTTGTTCTTCTGCTGCCTTGTGATCCGCAAGATCGAGGACCGTCATCTGCAATGCGCACCTGAGGCACTGGCGCGTCAGGGCTCAGGCGCTAAACAAAAATCGCATCTTGTTGCGACCCTGGAGGAGTTTACCGGAGGCCTCATCCCGTGGACGCGCTGCGTGCCCATCTTTGGGCCGGCGCTCAAACGCGGTGAGGCGAGTATATCGCCATACATCTCGAAGCCGAAGCACCATACCCCTCAAGCTGAGCTGACCTCAACGCATGTGTTTGATCGTTTTGGGGTTCAAAATGGTTCAAACGAGGAGCATGTGTCCGCTAAAAGCATTCCTTTCCTCACTGCCATCTTGCAATCAGCGCACCATGCGACCATGCGAGCGACCGCTGACACTGAACTTAACCAGTACTTGACCAGGCTTGGCGCTTCGTGACCTTCACCTTTTTTCACCTGCAGTTTCTGGACTTATTCCAGAATCTCCTGACGCTTCTGGACACCTTAGACGTGGAGGCAGGGTTCGCATCCAGCTGTGTGGGTTGCCACTTGTCATGGCCTGGGATAAGGCCACGCCACCCATCGTTCTGGGTGATGGCTCAAACTTAAAGTGTGGTGTGGCTTGGCAGCCTTAAACCCTAAACCCTAAACCCCAAACCCTAAACCCCAGACCCTAAACCCTAAACCCTAAATCCTAGCCTGTTTGCCTCCAGAGTCTTGTCATGAGCTCCTCTCAGGTCGGTGCCAAGCAGAACTTCATGTGCTATCCCAGCATCGGCGACATCCTTAAACTGGGGGTCCCTGTTGCGGGTTTTCTCTTCTTGCTTGAAGCAAATGGGGGTTTACGAAATAGGGGGACCCTAATATAGACCCCAAATTAGTACCACCCCCTTATAGCAAGGACCCCAAGAAGGCACCCCCCCCCCCCCCCCCCATAATATCGTAAACGCCCAGATGATCCAGCAACCCCCCCAGAAGTGTCTAAGGACTGGGCTCCTTCCACACCCTGGGTGTCGCCCTGGTGAGCTCGGCGATTGGCGGCATGTGCAGCACCTGGGTGAAGTTCGGCGACGTCGTCGCAGGCACTTGGGAGAGAACGAGAGGGGAGACGTACCCTAAACCCGAAACCCTAAACCCTGAATCCTGAACCCTAAACCCAATAAAAGGGCACCCAAAGCGTCTCCAAGGGGTGGTCCCTCGAACCCCAAGATCCCTGAAGAATGTGGGGGCGGCCTTTTTGTTGGGATTCCCGGACTCCATTCAGGTTCTTATGCCAGGCGATGCCGCAGTTTCCTGTATATTAAAAACCCAGGAGTCAGAGGAATGAGTGCCATCTTTCTTGAGCTCAGTTCCAGGGCATCTCGAGTCCCCGTATACCCAGAAGAAGGCCCCCAAAAGGCCTACAGTCGTTGGATTCGCAACATTCCCCACAGAACAGTTCGCAGTGCACAAGGATTAAGGCCTTTTTTGTTTTCAAGCCGCAGAAGTAAGCCGCAGCAAGCCCCTTTGAGCCCTTCAAGCCCAACACCTTCGGGGGGCGTTCTTAGAGTGGGCCAGGTGCCTCCACCCTTGGTTTCGGCCTCTCTGGGGCGATTGTCGCCCTCTACGCACTCTACGCAGGCTGGGCTCGGCTTTGGGCTACACGCTCACCCGTATGGAGGTGTATGGACATAGGGTACCCCTAACATAGACTCCCAAACAGTAGGATTCCTTCACAATAAGACCTCAAGAGGGTACCCCCGAGCTTCGGAACACCCACCCCAAGATTTGTGGGCAGAAAGATGGCTGGCTTGCCCGCTGGGCTGCTTTCTGCTGGAAGGGTTGGGGTCGGATGGCACCGGATGTTATGAGCCGGCGTCGCGCTGTCTACCACAGTCGCAGCATCGGCCGCCTGCGCAAGGTAGAAGAATCTCCGCGCGCCCTAAAACCTTAAAACCCTCCCCCCAATAAACCCTAAGCCCCAAACCCCAGCTGTGATTGGAGGTGCTGGTTTGGATTCCACTTCCAGTGTTCAGCGCAACTTCGAGGCCTGAAATGCTGAGCCTCAACCACCCAACCCCCCAGGCAGAGTACAATTCGCACAGAAACGAGGTGTGGGATCGTTCGTCGGGTCTTTTGCCCTTAGAGAAGTGCATCTTGCTCTGGAGGTATAAGTACCTTTGTTGGGATACGCTGGGCTGAGTGTCTCTTCAACTACTCAATCGCTCTCTGAAAGTAGTTGAAGCGCAGGGTTTGTTGGGCTTCCCCTAAACCCTAAACCCTAAACCCCAAACGCTAAACCCTAAACCCTAAGCCCTAAACCCTAAACCCTAAACCCTAAACCCTAAACCCTAAACCCTAAACCCTAAACCCTAAACCCTAAACCCTAAACCCTAAACCCTAAACCCTAAACCCTAAACCCTAAACGCTTTTCTGTGGCTGAACTCTGCACCGAACACTTTTCTGCAGAACTGGGTCTGGCTTCGGCTGATCTTCGTGGGCTTCCACATAGCCATGGAGCGGACTCCTCAGACAGGCAGCGATTCACGTGCTAATCTCTTAGAAGTTGGGATGTTCCCCCTTCTACTAACAGTCCCTCATGGGGATGATCATGGTACGAGAATCCCTCGTAGGGACTGTTAGAATAAGGGGGAACATCCGAATTTAGCAGTCGCTTACAGCCCCAAAGCACTAAGGTTTGTTCGTGGCCTCTCGCAGAGGGATTTGGCTGGTCTCTGGGCCCACACCACTGCCTTTGTTGCCGGCATTGCGCTTGGGCCCCAGCAGAAGTCTGGCGAGCAATCCGATGGATTCTGATCGGGAGGAGTTGGGTGATCTGTGGTCTTGACTGAACAGGTACGTTCTGTACTTCTTGCCGCCAATGGGTGACGGAACAGTTCTGTCCAGCGATCGTCCATATGTCGTGGCTTGTGCTTACGAGATCTGGCGACATTCAGGTGTCAGTTCTTGACATACGGTTTTGTCGTGTGTGCGCGTGCGTGTGCGTGTGCGGGTGCGGGTGCGGGTGCGGGTGCGGGTGCGCGTGCGCGTGCGCGTGCGCGTGCGTGCGTGCGTGTGTGCGTGGGTGTGTGTGTGTGTGTGTGCGCACGCGTGTTTGTGCGCGCCTTCTCTTGACGTGCATGCCATGCCCAGAGACAGCTCCGCTCAGGATCAAGGTGGCTTCTCAGCATCCGTGCCCTTTCTGAATGGGTGTAGTCAGGTTGGCAAGGACCTCTTTGTATTTACGTGTCTTTCGCAGTGAGTTTCAGCAACCGTGTACTTATGCTTTTGGCATGTATATCAGGCACCTGAGTGTATCCGCCTCTTCTCCAGCATCTATGAGTACCAGGCGCCGGAAACTCTTGATGATGGGTTTGCAGGGGATATTGTTGCTGTTGGGCAGCAAGTCATCTGCGTCATCCTGCTGTTTCATGTCTCTGGGCTTCGAGGTGCCAGATATACAGCGGCAAGCTTTCCTCTTCTACAGCACCGTGGTTGGTTGGACAATCTTCAATACGGCCGGGCCCTCAGCTCGAGCAAAGCCTGCAATCTGCACTGGCGCAGTGAATATTGGGGTTTACGAAAATAGGACCCCTACCTAATAAAGACTGATCGCCATAGGGACCCCAATGAGGTACCCCCAATAGCGGAAATCCCCATCTAGTGAAGAACTTTGGGGTGCCTGAATTCTTATGCCTTGCAAGAGGATGAGAAAGTCAGAAAGAAGGATGGTAAGCCTGAAGATCGGGCTTGCCTCGCCCTGCCCAACCAAATCATGTCCCCGGCCAACATCAAACGAGCTCAGCTTTGGGCTTGATTGGGCTTGATCCTGGTACCTTGCTCGTACGCTTCAAAAGCCCAGTAAAGCGAATCTCGGATCAGCAATACAGGCTCACTCAGAAAGCTACTACGGTGTCCAATCAGCCTGTGCCCAGTTCGTGGTGCACCGCAGTGTCAAGTCGAACGAAGCCGCCGCTCGATTGCATACATCTGGCACTGCAGGTGATGGTTGTTGTTTGGTTGATGTTTATGGTTTACTAGTCAGTTGTTGTTGATGTTTGCCCGTTTTTCGCTTGCTTGCTTTTCGTTTTGCCTGTTAGTTGTCTCTTGTGTTGAAAGAAGAGAAGCCACACGGGCATCGTCTGCCCAGAGATGCCAAGCAGGCTGAGCGACTCGCCCAAATGGGCAGTCAAGCAAGAACTGTCAGAACATGTGCCTCTAATCTGTCCAAGCTTTTTTCCGTGTCTTGGCATTTTGAGGGCTAAAAGTTCGAGGTTGAGATCCTGAGCCCTTAAAGCCAAACCCCCAAATTGGGATCTCCACAAGGCTTTTTGATAATAGAAACAAGTGGCCGCGCGCAACACGCACTCCCTCCAGTTTCTCCATCCTCATCGACAGCCACTGACATTGCAGCAGCAATCGCAGCAGCCGAGCGCGCTCAAATAGCTGGCACATCAAAGCAGCCGTCGAACGGACGAAGCCGTGACCCGCCTAGCCACCGCCCTCTCCTCGTGGGACAACGACACCTTTGCATTTTCCGAAACTTTCTATTTTGGGTAAGTTATGCTTCTGGCAAAGCATCTTAGCTTGATGTGGGAAGCATCGTGACAGATGGACGCAACCCAAGCTAGTATGTAGTATTGAAGCCCCCCCCCCCCCGCACGCCCCTTGACCCGAAAGCAAACCTCCTTGGTTGTTTGTGTTTTGTGGGCAGGAAGACAAGAAGGAAGGGTGGGGGGAGGGGGGGAGGGGGGGCAGGGCGCCTTAAGCTTAAAAATGCAGCCCTCGTTCACATACCAAGGTTCTTCTTGCGGGCTCCGAGGTGAGCGCCATTTGTTGCGCACGTCGTCAGGCCGGATGTCAGCAATTGAGTCCTACATCTCAAAGCCTGGTGATGCGGAAGTTAGTGAAGCTCATTGCCCTGAAGGTTTAAAGTTGTGACCGTGACTCTACTTTCGTGGTTCGTTCCATATCTGCCATGCATGCCATGTGATGGGCAGGCTGCTGCTGGGGGAGGTGGCTCAGGGGGTTCGGCCGACGGCTTTGCGTCGAACATGGATGGACAGGCCGAACGCCGTGATGTGAGGTTCACGCGGTGCATATGGCTCCACATGCGTGGGACGCAACGACATGCTGTGTCCCCATTCAGGAGATCATCCTTTGGTGTGAGGCCAGTGCGTCTGCCCTCCGACTTGAGAAGAGAACGGAGCAGACTTTCCTCTCAGGTGCTTACCATGATCGGCTGGCGGCCGGAGCAGGACCACGCATCCCAAATGGGACGTTGGAAGTTAACGTCTCCCAGTTCTCACTGCTTGCAGGGCACGGAAGATGCCGAGCGCAAGGTGGAAGTGAGGTGTCTCGACAAGAATCCCGCTTCACAAGGAGCCGCTGGATGACTGGCAGCTCTCAAGCTGACGTGATGTTGTTCAACGCAGTTGCTCCGCCAAGCACAGGACCCATGCTGGATGGTCCAGCAGAGGCTGAAGCATCCTCACACAACATCCCAGGCACTGCGTGTAGTGAGGTTTCGACGTCCGGATCAGTGCGATTCCAGCTTGCGTGCTGTTCAGCAATAACTCCCCCCAACCTGCCGTAATTTCTCACTGGGTTATATCAGAGTTCCGATGTCGCTCGTCAGACTGGGGTGGCCAGGAAAAGAACTGACTTCTATCAGGGAAAGCATCTTCTTGCCGGTGAAGTACCATCCGAAGTCGAGCTTCATCCAGATCGTACCCGCCCGATGGTTGGCTTTCGACCGTGGGCATGCGCGACATGCAATGCCCTGTGCTTTACAGGTACTCTACGACCTGGATCCGCAGAAGAAGCCGTGGGCATATGCTTCCATCTCGCTCTCGCAGGCGCGACTTTGCACACTGGATTGCTGGGGGCGTCCCAAGAGTGGATCCCACCAAGCACTGAGCCATGTATGTGATGCTTTTCTGGCCAGCAGGCGCTCCGATCCAAGGGCATCTTGGCAGGGATATTGTGAACATCTGCGACTTTCTTCCGCGTGCATTTGGGAACGTCTTGTCCCCTTTCCTCTTTCCCCCTCTTCCCCTTTTCCCCTTTTCCCCTTTCCTCCTTTTCCCCTTTTCCCCTTTTCCCCTTTTCCCCTTTTCTCAGTTTCCCCTTTTCTCAGTTTCCCCTTTTCTCAGTTTCCCCTTTTCCCCTTTTACCCTTTTCCCCTTGTCCCCTTTTCCCCTTTTCTCAGTTTCCCCTTTTCTCAGTTTCCCCTTTTCCCCTTTTCCCCTTTTCCCCTTTTCCCCTTTTCCCCTTTTCCCCTTTTCCCCTTTTACCCTTCCCCTTGTCCCCTTGTCCCCTTGTCCCCTTTTCCCCTTTTCCCCTTTTCCCCTTTCCCCCTTTTCCCCTTTTCCCCTTTTCCCCTTTTCCCCTTTTCCCCTTTTCCCCTTTTCCCCTTTTCCCCTTTTCCCCTTTTCCCCTTTTCCCATTTTACCCTTTTACCCTTTTACCCTTTTCCCCTTGTCCCCTTGTCTCCTTTTCCCCTTGACCCTAAACCCTAAACGCTCAACCCAAAACCCTTCTGGAGGGGCATTTCGAAAACGCAGGCCCCAGACGCGCACGCTTCTGAACCCTAAACCCTAAACCCTAAACCCCAAACCCCAAACCCCAAACCCTAACCCCTAGGCTGCTTTGCCCTTAAGGAGAGCGCAGATTGAAACTACAGCCCATCGAGAGCAAGGCCGCATCTGGCTCATGGCCCAAGGACAGACATGCCGAGCTTGCTGGGGTTTAGGGGGTGGGATGGTTTAGGGGTTTAGGCGGTAGTGTTGAGGGTTTATAGGTTTTTTTGGGTTTATAGGGTTTCTAGGGTTTCTAGGGTTTATAGGGTTTATAGGGTTTATAGGGTTTATAGGGTTTATAGGGTTTGTAGGGTGTTTAGGGTTTGGGGTTTAGGTTGTGATGCTCGACTCCTCGGGTGGATTGAAGTGATCACTGCTTACCCTGCCCACCATGTGGCCAGGCCGTATCTGGATGCCTGCCATGGAGACGAGCACCTCAAATCATGATGAAGTTCAGGAGCGATTTGGGGGGGTTTCCGAAATTAGGGGTACCTTATTGGGGTCCTACTCTAAGGGAATCCTACTATTTGGGGGGGTCGATATTGGAATCCCTTATTTTCGGTGTAGAGGATCAGAGGGTTAGGGGAGCGGCAATTTGGGACGTTGAGGGTAGAGGACCAGCATTTTAAGCGACAAGGACGCTAGGGTGTATGTCATCGCCAGAACCCCCCTTCCCTCTCCCCCTTGCTTGCAATTGTTATTTCGGCTTGAGGTTTCCAAAGGTTTCTAGTGATGGTCTTGCTGAGCCCTGAACCCCCACCTTAGCAGTAGCGTGGCGGATGGGTCCAGATCCGGCTCGTGCCACAGTTCGTCGTCCTTTTCTGCTTCCTGTGTGCTGGTGTTTTGGTCTTCTGCAGCTCCGACCCCCTAAACCCCTAAACCCCTCAACCCCTCAACCCCTAAACCCCTAAACCCCTAAACCCCTAAACCCCTAAACCCCTAAACCCCTAAACCCCTAAACCCCCAAACCCCAAACCCTAAACCCTAAACCCTAAAGCCCTAGACATCCCTAGACCCTAAATCCTTAAACCTCATGAGATCTCATGAGCAACACAGGAATCTGGATCCCAAGAAGGCTGGAGAAATCAGAGATGCGGTCTTGACCCCAGTGGCAGCTACTGAAACCCAAAGCCTGACCAGTTCTCTAAGTCAAGGTCCCGTTCATAGGGGTCATGATAGCAGAGTTTAGGGTGTAGGGTTTAGGGTTTACGCTTTAGGGACTGCCATCCATGATGCGGAGTATTCCAGCACATTCTAGTCACACTGGCATGCCAAGGTCAAGCAGCAGCTGGACTTCACGAAGCAAGACCTGGACAAGAGAGAGCGAGAACTGGCATCTCCGACACCTTTGGGCCATGACCCTGAACCCTAAGCCCAGCCCTAATTCGGCAAAAAAGCGTGGCCGCTGTCGTCTGCCAGGAAGAACTGAAAGCCGTGAGAGATACGCTGAATGCTGACAATGGTGACGGTGCCAGTTGATGCTCCGGGCAGTTCCTCTTGACTAGTGCAAAGTGGACGTGGAACAATGTGACTAACTGAAAGCCTTTATGGCACCGTACTTGCAGGAGCTTTCACAATTGGCCCTTTGGTCCCTGGACCGTAGCCCCCAGTTTCTCCTCAGAAGCAGACTCAATGGGCAGATGCAGACAACCACTGCTCCGGCAAAGCAGGGTGCAGAATGCATCCTGCCCGAAGGTTCTGCCCGAAAATTATTGCGGTTCAAGCATATGCAACGCCTGCGCCTTTCGAGCGCGAGGGCTACGTGGACAAGTTGCGTGTGGACCATTGAGGGCCACTTCTGTTGAAGCGGCAGTAAAACTGTAATTAGACCAGGAAGTGTTGCACACACAGAGCATCAGATCGACAGAGGAGTGATTCAGTGACACGTGTCCACTCTGCGGTTGAAGCTGAGCAATGCGCGGCATCCAGCAGATTCCAGCAGAAAAAATGTGCGTGTTGCTGTCTTGCGGGAAAGGTTGCAAATCATGTGTGCGTTGGATGGGCCTTCGTGAACGTGACATCGCCAGCCTCATGCACCACCTTACGGGACCTTCTCGATAGAAGATCTGCGGCCGCAGCGTCGTCCGAGGTGGTAGGCAGTTGGCGCGGGGAGCGCACGGAGTTGGCAAAGGAACAGCCGCACCGCTTGGGAGACCTTTGCCGAGCTTCACTGGTGTCGTTTGCTGCGACTACACCCTGGGCGGCCGAATGTTTGGCACCCGGAAGACGATAAAAGGTGCCCCGCGCCCCGGGAATCTGCCGCCAACGTACACAAAACGCTTGCCTTCGCTTGGGAGATATGCTCTGTATCTCAAGCAGTCCCACCAAAACTTGGGCAACAAGAGGGAGAACGGAGGAGCGGCAGCTTAAAAGCCATCGAGGATTTGGATAATCAGTTTGTGGTTACGAGTTACGTGCGCTCAGGGGCTCCACGCAGATTCCGCGCCCTTCCGCACAGCCTGCTGGAGACTTGGCTCCACATTCGCCCAAGGCAAGGCGCCACTCTGGCTCACCCTCGCAGCAGCCTGGTTTCATCTGGTTTCTTGCAGCCTGCCTGCAGGCATCAGAGAGCTGGGTGAGAGCTTGTGTCCGGGCAGTTGCTGTACTTCTCGACATTCTTACCGGATACCGCACGGGAGTTGCGGCAATGTGTTGATTTAATTCGCTGGGCGCAGCGTCGACAGCGCTGCCTTCCAAGTTGCTGCCTTTACGTGCATGGACACCCGTCGACATGTTGGCGGACTGTTGGGCTGATGATGGCTGATGCTTCGCTGGTCCTCCGCCTGCGTCGACTACTGGCCTTCGCCCAGCCCTGCGTGGGCGACACGGCTCGCAGTCTCATGCATCGTGCATCCCGGCACGGCAAGCCGTACGAGATCCTGCAAGCTATCGGTTGCGTGTGCTGCCGATAGCGTTCTCCGTCTGTAAGCCATGAATCTGCCGGCAAGCCGGGGAACGTGCAACGCTGCTTGATGCGGGAGCTTAAGAGGCGTTTGCGAGTGTGCCCATGACGGAAACTTTTGTCCGCAATTACAAGTTGGTCATTTTGGGTGCCTCGCTTTGCAATTATTCACTCGCTGGAACAGACCCTGAGTGCTGGCAGCTGCAAGCGCTTTTCCCTGATGCAGGTTTCACATTCCGCACCCCTCTTGCGTGCTTCAGCGAGGGCAAAAACTAATGATCGCTAAAGGCCCCTGATGTTCAAAGGGGTTTTGGGCTATCATCTATGGGGCGATAATCTTGGGCAAATAAAGCCGGTGAAAATAGTGTGATGCGAGCATTTCATTTACACACCTATTATGAAATTTCACGCGCTGTTCTTTTTCTTCACCCCTTGCCATTCATTAATATTGTAAATATAACCGCAGGCATGTCACTAGAACTAGTACATGATACGAAGTACTGATTGGCCTTTCGGATCCGGAAGTAATCGCTGTATTCATTTGTTGCCTCCTCACAACGTTTCCGCATGTTTTCTTGCGCAAATAATCACTTTTGCTTCCGCACCCGTGCGGGTCCTCGCCCGTTTTTTGCCACAGTCTGTGCGACGTGCCACGATCGACCCCCCCTTGCTGGCACCGCCACCGCCGATTCTGCTGAGCTGCAGCCTGGACTCGAGCGTGGAGGGCGCTGAGCTCGTTCACGCGGTGGGCAGCGTTGCTGCACAGGGACCGTGGATTCCCAGTTGCAAGAAGGCCCGGTTGAAAAAGCAACGTAACTAGTGCTGCACTACCAACGTTCATCGGGAGCTGGCCGCACCCTGTAGAACGTTTTCCAGAGACCTCACAACCCCTTAATTAAGGAATATAATACCTTAAATCATATTGGGGCTCTTATATGTTCCCATTATTAATTTAAGGGACATTCCTTAAGGGGTTGTGGAGTCTCTGGGTTCCTTGGCGGCAGGAGTGCACCGGACAAAATCGGTCCGGTGGTTAAAATGGGTAAAATGTGTGTAGACAAGAATGATTCAGATGCGAAACGCTGGTGCCTTCTCGTGAAGCCTCCACACGCGGATGCTCGCGACGTTGCGCCTAGCTCAGCCTCTGCTTCAAACTGACGCTGCGCAACCGCCGCATGATCTCTAGCCGGACGACATTGTACACGGGATCTCGTGGAAGTAGATTTCGCGGCGTCCTGTTGGCCGCTGGCCCAACCTCCGCGATCAACCTTTTTTTAATACTTCGACATGGCTTCTCCAAGCGCTCCCGCTGGGCCGCACTCATTCAGGCTCTGCGTAGCTGAGGTTGCATAAGAAGTTGTTCGAATTGCCGCCGAGCCTGGTTGCAGAAAAGCAGGAATCACACCGACACAGTGGGGTATTGTGCGGGCGGGGAGAGCGTCTCCCGTTCGCCGCCGGACAGTTCCGTGGCCGGCCCCCCACCCTGGTACACCTCCCGTGGGCCTGCGGCTACATCCCTGCTTCCGCCCAAGAGGCGCTTCTCCACGTGTTCGTGGGTGAGACCGCCGCTGCGCAGCTCGTACTGGCGACTCTGCAAGTTCCAGCTTCAGCAGCTCAAGCTCCAGCAGCTAGCAGTTCCAGCAGCAGGCTTCGGTTTGCGGCTGCGAGCCCAGCGCCATCCCCCGCTGGCGAGGATGCGGCCATCAGGCACGCCACCCTCTCGGGCCACGGGGCCAACAGCTCCAGCACGCCTTCGCTAGCCGCTAGTCTACGCCCACGTCTTCCGGACGCCGCTTTGTGAAAGGGCCGCTCCGGCAAGCCATGCGTTTTGCCTTCACACACATCTTGCAGGCATCAGCGCAAACATGCGAGGTGGAACGTGCGGAAGCTGTGGCTCTTGCTCCCGCGCATGCTGCTCCACCGCCCTGCTGGGGCGCCGTTGCCTCCCCAAACCAGAACTTCCGGAGCGATTCGATTTTTGTCGTAGCGATTAGTCGGAACAATGGTGAAGCCGCAGTGATTGATTTTGGGGGGGTCTTCCTCATGACGTCTTGAGCGCAACGAGGAGGGCAACGATGGGGACCAGGCTCTACATGGTTCGTGGCTGGCGTCAGGTTGCCCGCGTAGCTCGTGTAGAGTCAAACCGAACCATCCTCCATGCGATCCTTTACCGATGATGCAACGCGACAGCTCCGCCAGTCGCGAAAACATGTTCAGCGGAGTGCCAGACACTGTCTCGAGTGGGAGCTTTGGCTCCAGACCGTGTACATGCTGCAGAGTGGACCATGGTGGAATGAAGATATCAACTGTACACACAGCCTCAACTCATTCTCTGCCGAAGTTGTCTTGTTGCAACCTTGCGATGTGCTCCGCACCACATCACCCTTTTGCAAAGCATAACTCCGCCGTAGCCCCAGGTCGCGCATGTGTATGCGTTGATGCCGTCACATCCGATTTGTTTGCCCACTGCGGCATTGCTCCAATCTCGGCAAAACGCGGGTCCTCTGTTTGGGTGGCACGCCCGTTGGCAGCCCGGCTTTCGTCCGAGCTTGGGCCGACGAGCGGATGCGGGAGGAGCAGCGGCTGTGCGTGAGCGGCCGCAACTGCCGGATCGGCAATGTGCTTGGCTGCTACTGGCCCTCTGTGCAGCCCTACGCGCCAACCACGCCATCCGCGCGGTCCCGCCCAACATCGTCGCTCCGTATGCAGCGGCGCATGCCGCGTTTGTGGAGCCCTATTTGAGTGCTTGGTTGACGCCCTCGTGGGCCTGCCGGCAATCTTGGATGGCTTGGGCATACAAACCGCGCAGCGGACGGCGCCTGCCGCATGCTGGGCCGCTGGGGCCGATGCCCTCCCCGTGCTGCGCGCGCGCGCGCGCGCTGCCCGTTCGCAGAACCCTGCATGCGGATCCTCAGCTCCCGCCTTTGCAGGTCCCATGCCCGGTTGCACCTCGAGGCAGCAAAAAATCGTGATTGTTGCTAAGGGTGTCCCTGCTCTCGTGCTTGGTTCCTGTGTGTGGGTTGGCGATCAAGCTTTGTTCGCAGCAGGGGCTCGTCGCTGTTGGTGTGCCAATCGGGGCGCCGGCCTTCGTTTGAGGCGCAGGCGCGCCCGAGCCATCCCGAGCCATGCCGGGACCGGCACAGACTGATGCGCCGGTCCTTGACGGGGTCATGGACCCCGCTGGCCCGGAAGGGCCAAGCCACCTGCCACTGCGGCTGCTGGCGGAAAAAATAAAGAGGTGTGTAATTAAAAAAACTCGATGTGGCTGTCCACGTACGACCCATTGGCGACGGTGGTGACGGCGGGTGTTCCCAGGAGCACAGTCAGCAGCGCTTCCGCGAATTCCGTTGCATTTCGATGCTCCCGCTGTGGTTTCGCGCGAATTCCGGCCTCTCGTGGCCTCTTCAGGCCTCTTCTGGGGGGGCCACTTAGGTTGCCGACCGCAACGGCGCGCGCGGTGGGACGGGTCCTTGGTTTCGATGCTCCCGCTGTGGGTTTCGCGCGAATGCCGTTGCCCACCACCACACTACCATCACTACACTCACTACACTACCGCCACCGCCACCACACTACCATC